AATGTTTTGAGAATGATGTACAAATGTGCTTTACACAATTGATGTGTGTATGGATTGCAATAACAGTTGTATGAGCCCCTAATAAAATGTTTTAATAAATAAATTAATTAAATATGAGTACAGGAGGCAGGGGTGGTTCCATGGTAAAATTCTCACCTTCCATTCTGGGTTCAATGCCTGCCCAGTACCTTCAAGGGCAGCCCCCACTCATCTGTCAGTGGAGGTTGGAGGGTTGCTATGATGAGCACCTTTCAGTGGAGCTGCCAGACTAAGACAGACTAGGAAGAAAGATCTGGTGACCTCCTTCCTAAAGCCAGCCAGTGAAATCCCTATGGATTATAATGGTCTGTTGCCACCCTGCCTGGGGGTGTCCGTGAACAGCAGGGGGTGGGAATCGACTCGATGTTAGCTGAATCAGGGGGTTGAGCCAACAACAGCAATAGCAAGCTATGAGCACAAAGACTTCATAAGAGCAGCATCTCTTATTAAGACAGTTATTAAATAAGACACTCTAATTAAAAGAAAAAACATCTTGCGGGCAAAAAATGCATTCCTGTTCCTTACTCCGGATGCTAGCCCAAGCAATGAGGAAAGAAATAAGTCAACATTAATGACTAGCATAGAACATCAGAGAGTATTCAGTGCCTACTCTGAGCCATTTGCAGTCAGCGTTCACCTCTGTGGTGTTTTGTTTTGTTTTTCCAAAGGATGTTTCCAAGTGGTGCCAGCTAGAAGAAAATTCAGCCGAGGGCTCATTTATTCTGCAGCTTTTATCATAATTCTTACACCAAATAGGCCACATCCCCTAATGTAGATTAAGAGAGCCCTGGTGGTGCTATGGGATCAGCAGTGGCCTGCTCAACCAAAGGTCAGTGGTTCAAACCCACTGGCCGCTCCTTGGGAGAAACAAAATGAGACCGTGGGCTCAGGTGACAATGTGTAGTCTCAGAAACCCTATTTAGGATCACCTTGAGTCAAAATCCACTCAATGGGAATGGGTGAAGTGAAGTTAGATTAAGTAACTCTGGTGCTACAGTGGTTAACTGCTCAGTTGCTAACACAAGGTCAGTGGTTCAACCCACCAGCCATTCCATGGGAGCGATATTTGGCCATCTGTGTCCAGAAAGATTGTAGCACCTAAAGCCCAAGGGAACCGCTTGACTGTGTCTATAGGGTGGCAATGCGTCGAAATGAACTGCAATTTTGTTTTGGGGGCAATTGACATCAAATTTGCTTTAAGAAAAATTCTGGGGTAAGAGACAGGTCCCAGAACCAGAACTGGAGAGTAAGTTCTAGGTCCAGCTCTGTGACAGCCATGTGATCTTGAGCCATCAGTGAGGCCCAGGGTCTCTCTTTCTTCTTGAGTAAAGTGAGGGACTTGAGCCGGAAGACCTATGATCTCTTCCGGGCAGCAGTGTGCGCTGTCTAATCCCTCTAGGCAGCGCATTTCAGACTACACTGCCCAACAGAGCCTCGTTACAACACGGAGTGTCTAAAGGAATCAGCTGAGTGCCACTCTCTGACCCCCTCAGACTGAGCTCAACTTGAATAGGCGTTTACCAAGGTGTGGCCCGCGTGCAAGCCCTGATTATGAACTAACACGGTGAGGAGTTTCACAATGACTCGGGCATCCGCCCACTGTCCAACACAAGCCAACAGTGAGAAAATCAGCTCTCCTGGGCACCTCACCACGAGACTCAAGTGTTCTTGAGCAATCCTGCGCCTGTATCTCCTCATCTTTAAAAAGGGGGCAACCACCACCTTCAGGACCTGTCATCTACCCCCCACTAAGATCTGTGAGGGCAGACGTTGCACCCAGCTCTAAAAAGATAGCATTGTTAATGACCTGATGTCAGGCCTGCGCAAGAAATGAACTCTAGCTGATACCGAGGACTCAAATAGAAATTAACTGTTTAGGGGGAAAAATGATGGCAACATATGTCCAAATATGCTTGATCCAGTTGATGTATGGGTGGTTATAAGAGCTGTAAGAGCCCCCAATAAAATGATCTTTTAATAAGAGAAAAGAAAACGAAATAAACCCTAATGATTGTATCATTATGTCAACTCACATTTAAACCCTTTCCTCTTTCCCCACACCCCTGCTGCTCACGATAGAGAAGTGAGGACTTGAAATAGGAAACTCACGGGCCCTCTAAGCAACCCTGAGAGCAGAAGCGTCTTCTGGCCGAGTTCCTTTGTGACTCTTGTAAAGAATGGCCTCTCTCCCAGGCCTTCTTGTCTGGAGCTCCCAGGCCCACAGCCGAGGCTCTGTGTGGGGTCGGAGCCAGATAGCTCACCTCTCAGACACAGAATGTAGTGGAACGCACCCAGTCTGTCCCCCCAACACTCTACACGCCAGGGTGCCTTCCTGTTTCAACCCAGTAGGTTCGCTATGAAATGCTTCTAAAATGAGCGGGAAGGAAGGAAATGCAGCGCTGGACACCCACCCTCCCCTCCCCGGTGTCCGTGGCCACTTGGACTTACCCTCTTGACCAGGTAGCCCTCCCGGATTCGCTTTGGCTCCATGTCGACGGTGGACAGCAGACAGGCGGAGGAGAACACTTTCAGGACCGGCCTCTCAGAGCTCACCCTCCTGTGGGAGGCAGGGCTCTTGTGGGTTGCCTTTTCTAAAGCAAGGCCCCTTTCACAATTTCCCCTGGCCTGGTGAGCGCATGATCACATCCTCTTCCCCTAACCCGAGGAGAAGCTCGGAACCAGGAACCGCAGAGCTGGGCAGTCCAGGCTTTGCTCAGGCTGGAGACTCCTGAAAGTAGATAGTGAAAGACGAACTCAGCCCAAAGGCGCTCTCTCAGGCCATCTAGTTAAAGAAATCCCAAAGGAGGGAGGGCGGCGGGTGCACGGAAGAAGAAGCAGAGCAAGAGGGCTCATAGGCGGAGGTAATTGTTCTTTAGATCCCGGCGTGCTTGATCAAAAAATGCCAACTCTTTGGCCAAGCCTCGGTATACGGCAGACTGTGAACAAGCCTTCCTCCGATCTAAAGGGCGTGCTTCTACATACAATCTCCTTTCTTGGATTACTGGCTCAGCATGCATGAGGAATATGTATGGTGAAAGGATCTATCTCGGCCACACACGTTTCTTGATTTTCAACCAGGCAGTAGTCCTTGTCCCTATCAAACAATTGCTTCATGTCTACGTATAGGCCCCGCAAGAGCACAATTAGGGTTTGGAGTCCTTCTGGCACAATGTTATCATATAATGTGTTATGTGACACATGGTGCAGTGACTTTGTATGTGAATTAGAACATTTAAATATAAAAAGGAAACATCTGTCTGGTATTTTCTGCTTTCAGCAAAGACCCATCTGACAGCAACAAGGATCTCTGCAATTGTACTAATGCATAGTTTTAAATTATCTTCAGCAAAATTCTACTTGCATGTGATTATTAATACAAAACATAATAAACAAAAAAAATGACAAGAAGTCCAGAACAAAGGTAACTACTTCGAGGGGACTGACTTACCTGTGCTGGGAACCACACAAGGTGGTTGTCAGCCTATATATACCATGCATTTAGTCCTCACAAGAAAGTCAGAGAGGAAGATACGGGGATAAGTCAAAAAGTATTACTATTAACGTTTTAGTTCGTATATTCAAAGGTACATTCCAAACAAAATAAGTTTAAACATATCTCTGCAGTCAATGGATGGCGGCCAGCAAATTTTCCCAGCAATACATTTGTCTTAGTGTGATGACCAAAAAAGTCCAATCACAACAGTGACTTCCAAGGACATACATTGGGCCAGTTCAAGGTTGAGAGGTCAGCTCAGAAGGTGATTGCAACTGTTTGATGGACTCCCATAAGCATCAGCTTGATGGACTTTTTCAAAAGATGCAGGAGGAGCACGGGGACTTATTAGGAAGTAGTCTGGCGAAAATTGAAAACAAAACTGGTAAGGGAAAAGCCCATTGCAAAAAGTACCTGCTGTCCTTCCAGGGCACCAAAGACTGGCCGAGGAGAGTTTCGTGGGAAACCTTCAGCCTACAGCCATGATTTTGCTCTTTCAGGTTGTTGTTTTGTTCCCCAAATTCAAAGAACATTGAGACAGAAAACAATATAAGTCCCCTAAGGGTGCCCAAATTGTCATTGTGACATGCTGTAAATCAGAGCAGAAGTTTTCAGGGGATTCACTGCCCTGCAGTCCATTCTGACTCATGATGACACTGTAGGACAGAGTAGAACTGCCCCTTTGGGTTTCTGAGACTTTACATCTTTATGAGACCAACACTCTCTCTCGCTGCCATTGAGTCAATGCTGACTCATAGCAACCCCCTGTGGGTTTCCAAGACTGTTTTACGGTTTATGAGAGTAGAAACCTAGTCATTCTCCCTCAGAGCTGCTGGAGGTTTCCAACTGCCAACCATGTAGATCACAGCCCAACTCGTAACCGCTGTGCAACCAGGGCTTCTTGCAAGTACAGACAAGCCTCGTCTTTCTGCCTGGGAGTAGCCGGTAGGTTTGAGTTACTGACCTTGTGGTTAGCAGCTCCGTGTTTAACCCACTATGCCACCAGAGCTCCTCAGAATAGCAAGATGGAAACACCACCTTCAGATGGGTACAGACCTAGAGGGAGAATATGTTGAGGAACAATGGCTTTACATTTTGACACTTCTGTTTAATAAAGGTGCTCGTTTAATGTACTCTCATAGAATATCATGACTGTCTTGGGGAAACTCCGGCCCAGAGGGAAAGGGCAAAAGGGCAAGGAGGGCACAGCCAGAACCAGAAGAGCAGGGAGTGAGGGCCTTGTGGAGTCCCACACAGTGCGTGTAAGAAGACGTCTGCAGCCAAGTAAGCTTCAGAAACCACACACTATGGTCCTATCTTGGGGACGCCCCAGGCACATTAACAGCAGATAAAGACCCTCCTTCCCAGAAGTACTACAGCAGAGGGGCCTGTGGTGACCTTAATCCTGCGTTTCCCAAAGTTATCTGACCACCAGGATCCTTTGATCATTTCCTATTACCACTCTGGAAAGATTCCTATCATCGATTTCAGAAAAGATTCCTCCTATTGATTTCAGAAATATCATTCTGAAGACAATGCCTATTATCACTCTGAAAAGCCAACGCGCTACAAAACAAACTGAGAGGCATTCACCTGGCTGTGTGAAGACGGATAGGTGTTTTTCGTCATTTATGACCTCAATTTTCCCATTTGTAAAACAGGGCTAAAAATTCCTGTGGTGTGAAGCTCTTCTGAAGATCGATTGGGATGATGCCTGTATGTGTTTAGAAACATGTCTGAACATAGTAACTAACCGTAACTGCTACCCGTTCCTCACCTTTAAGGCAACTCTCTGTTACCCTAGCTAGGGCTGATCCTTGCCAGTGATCTTAAAGCCACCAAGTGACACAAATAATCACAGTACCAGGCTTCCTATTTCTTCTTTTCCTCATTATACAGGACAAGGTTCCTTGGTTGCAAATAACAAAAACCTAACTCCGGCTAATATAACTCAAAAAAACTCACCACCATCGAGTTGATGCTGACTCATAGTGACCCTGGAGGGCAGTGTGAAACTGCCCCTGTGGGTTTCTGAGACTGATTCTTTTTTTCTTTTTAAATCATTTTATTAGGGGCTCATACAACTCTTATCACAATCCATACACACATCAACTGTGTAAAGCGCATTTGTACATTCATTGCCCTCATCATTCTCAAAACATTT